CCTTCCATCATCAGGAGGTCGATATCCGTCGGGTTCGGGTGAGTCGTTGAGGTCGACGCTGGCGTTGTCCTCGCCAGGTGGGTGGTGGAAGGATGCTTCCCCGAGGTCGTCTCCATCAGCTTGGCCTCCGTGATCCCCGCATTGGTCGCCGAGCAAATGCGGCAGTAGAGCGTGCTGCGGTGCTACAAGGGGCGGCGGTACCAGTGGCTGGGAGGGCCTCGTCCGTGAGAGGTCTTGGTGTTCGTCCCACCGCATTCTGGTCGGGCGAAAGGGGGGGATAGCAAAGGGGGGGTTTGAGAATCAGCTCACGTAGCTGATTTTCCCGGCGCCTCCCGGCGCCGGAGGCGGCTATGTATCGAGGAATGGGCCCCTCGGTGGGGCCGAAACCAGCTGCATGCAGCAAATTTCGTAACCCCCCCTTTCCCAATCCCCCCCTTTCGCCCGGCCCGAGAGAGGTCTTGGTGTTCGTCCCACCGCGTGCGTGCCGCGTCGGGCTCCCGAAGTCGCTGGCGGAGGTGCTCGAACGCCGTCCGTCGGAGAGCTCGTGGTGGTCGACGCTCGTCGTCGGGCCGCGGGGGCTGAGAATGCTGCCGAAGCCGTTCCCGTGCGATCGCCGAGCTGTACCATCCCTCCATGCAAATATCTTGTGCCAGCTTCCCCCCGTAGTCGGGGGTCAGATCCTCCTCCTCCTGGGCACAGCCTGGGGCGCCACAGAGTCTATGGCACCTCAGCAAGACCTCCAGCGTGGCTAGGGGCGCACCTTACAACCGCCATTAGCCACGCCCATCGGACAACAGGCAAGAGATTAGGGCTCTGGGAGCAGGCGATAGCCTGCATACCTCTGAACCCTCTTGGCCAAACAGTACTCTCCCCGTCGCAAACGATCGAGGACAAGGCGACGATCCTTCGAAAGACGACGGGGCAAGCACTCACTCGCAAGAGACACCACACGCTGGGAGGTGCATGCAGCGCAGTGAGTGCAACAGAAAATCTGGGTTTCACCCACAAAAAAGGACGCCACCCGATGATGCTTGGACCCAGCGGCTTTAAGAGACGCCTGAGACTGCTGGATCCTTTGCTCTAGGGTGGGGGGCTCTGGCTTGACAATAATTAGGGAGGGGGCTGAACGCGCAGAACGCTGACGGTGCAGACAGTCAACAGAAGCTATGGCCTCACCCGCCCTGGCGGCCCATTTCCCCGTAAGACTGACCATCATCCTCTGCATCTTAATAAGCTTCAGAAACTGGGGATAGGGCCGCAGGTCACGAGCACGACTTTTCGCAGCACCGTCAGCGGCATCATTTCCAAGTTTATCCCGAAGCTTATACCTCCCCTCCGCTACCATGGTGTCGGTCACGTGGGCTCTCACTTTTTTGACCTCAGGGGGGGTTCCCCCCCAATCGTCGATTTTGTGCCAAACTTGCTTCCAAAGACAGGCCCAGGCCGCCGACGACGACGTGGTGTCGGCTGGTCCGCGGATGTTGTAGCCTTTCCACACGAAATCGGAATCCGTGTGCATGACTACTGGTGGCACAGCAAACCTGAGCGCTGCTAGCAGGGCGTAAAGTTCAGCACCGTCTATGTCCTGCAGCGGGAAGGGCAGAAGACCAGTGATGGTGCAGACAGCCGTGTCGCTGTCGGCGGCCAACGCGACGACTGCCCAGGCAGCTATCCCGCGATGTGGGTAATCAATAACCAAGGACCCATCAAGATACAGATCCCCTGTGAGCTGATGCGCATCCCCGTACCATTTCACACAAGGCTCCAACGGCATCTGCAACACCGCCTGAGGGGCCTTGGGGAGAGGGACAAGCACTCGCTCCAGCATCAGGCGCACCAGGTCATTCTGGTCCGCATGCGGGAGCATGAGTCTGATTGCATCGGGGAGTGGCTCTCCTATTGCCTCAAGCATGCTCTTACACACGGCGTGCCGGTGCACGAGGGTTCCAGGGGCCTCTTGGCATGCAAGGCAATTCGGGGAGTCAATCCAACCTTGTTGAAATTGCCGATCTTGGGGCCACTGAGCTCCAATGATAGCACTCCTGAGGTACCCACGCTGCTGCCAAGTGAGGTCCCCCTTGGCGCTCAGGAGGTACTTCAGAGGCCCATCCCAAAAACCAGTCCGGAACTCAGGCATCTGAAGGTGCTCCGAAATCTGCAGGTTGACCCAGTGGCGCACCGCATGCGCACAACAGTGAAGGAGGACCCTGGGGCAGATGTCGGTGAGTTTCAGCTCCAGACCATCAGGCAGCTTCCAGACCAGGGGCTCGACGACGACGATCCCGACTCTGGTGAGCGTAGCATACAAGGCTCCAAAGGGACCCCGAACCTGCGGCCACATTTGGTCTTTCCCAGAAAGCGCCAATTTAGCAGCCCCAAGGCCATGCTCTAGGACATGACATGGCACAAGCGACGCCCAAAGGACAGAGCTAAAGGCTTTGATAGGCTCCAGCGTAGCCCTCCAGATCGGGTCGTAGTTAACCTGCGGCGCGAGCGCGAGAGCGAGAGTGCGGCTCTTGCCGCTGGTCTTGGCGTCGAGCGCAGCAGCGGCCTGGGAACGTAACACGTCCAGCTCCTTAGAGGCAGTACCCTGAACAGAGGTCCCAAAAGCAATCGAAGTCTCCAAAGACGCCCTAGCCATGATGGCCATGGTTTTCCGCCTGGCCGTACCCGCCTGGAGATGTTTCATTCTCTTGAGCTTAGGTTTGGCGACTTTGATTCTGCCCGTCCTGGTGGTCCTCCTGAGAAACCGTCCTGAACTGTAGTCAACCCCCAAATTGCGCTCGTGGTACACGCCTTGGGCCCTAAGCGATACTAGCCTCCTGGACAGCTGATCACGTAAGTCAGTGTCACTAGCAAGCACTCGCGTCTTATCAAGAGCGAGTCGTAGATCCACTCGCTGAAGCTCGCGCTGATGCTTCACTCCAGCGCCAGCTACATCAGCAACAACACGGCCGTGTTCCCCCGATCTCTGCAAACCAAAATCGTCGACAACCACGGATAAACTGATGGCCCGAAACTCCTTCTGAACAGCATCCAGGGGTCCCAGCAAAATAAGTTGCAGCAAAACA